CTGCTTCTCCCTCTGCTTCCCTCTCTCCTCCCTCTGTCTCTCATGAATAAATAAATAAAATCTTTAAAAAAAAAAAAGGAGTTAAGAGTGGATTGGAGATCATCACCTAGTAAACTGGGAGACACAGCAGAAGGCTTACTAGACGTACATGGGCTTGAGTCCTGGCTCTGAGCCTTGCTGGCTGCACTAACCATGGATAGGCGGGTTAGTCAACATCCCCGTGCCGTTCCTCATCTGTAAAATGAGGATGAGAATAGAAGCTATCTCAAAATTACAGTGAGGATTATGTGAAGGGATCCATGCAAAGCCTTCAGCACTGCGCCTGCTGTTGGGTAGGCATGGGATAAATGACAGCCCTTACTATCTACCCTAAGTGTCCAAGACTCACCTACTGCTCCAAGCAGAGGGCCACCACTGCCACCACATGCTTTCCCCTCTGAGGTTTGTCTGAATTTCCCTCCAAAATGGCAGTGGTGGCCTCTTCTTCCCGTCCTCGGAAGCTCACTGCCCCCACCCTGGTGAGCTCAGGCCATGATGATCAACCAGCCCCCCAGACCACCCCAGGAAGGGCCAGGGACTCCCTAAGAAGGAGAGGGTACGGAGAGCAAGGCCACCCTGGTTCTCCAGGCAAAGAGAAAGGGGGATGGGGGGGATGGCTGTGAAGGGTCATGGCATGGATTGGGGGGAGGGTGCTGCTGAGGTGGGAATTCCAGAGCGGGGAAAGCTTTGAGAAATGACCAGAGCCTGAGCTAAGCCTGTAACTTAGGAGGGAAGAAAAGTGCAGATTTGAGGAAAGAAAGGAAAATGTGAGTAGATTTGGCAAGAGATGAGTCCAGAATGAAACCTCACTCTCCCCCCCCACCATCCCCTCGGTGTCATGGCCAAGCTGTAACAGATGGGAGGTAAGAGTCCGAAATGAGATGCCAAGGAACTCAAAACCGGATCCCTGCTTCCACTGTGTGCCTGATGGATGAATCTGACAGGTAGTTCAGGGATGGAGAGGAGAGCCATCTCATGGCTGTGGAGCTTGAAAATCACAGTACAGTGCTGTGGTGGTGGCAGTTTCTATGCAAATTTGTTAGACTCGGTCAGTCCACCGAGTGTTTATAACACACGTGAATTCCACTTTTAAAAACGTCACCATTTGATAGAAAAAAAATGTGATAAATCCTAGACCTATTGTGCCTGTGGTTTCTGAATGTTCTTCCTGCTGGTGTCAGGTTTAAGGGAAAAAAATAACCAAGTGGGGAAAAAAGTGAGCAGGATTCTAGTTCTTTTTTGCTCACTGGGGAACATACGCTTTCCAAACACAGGAGGAGAGGAGCCGCCTGGGTTCCTTTCCAGCTGAGTCTGGGTTGGCTCCAGAACACACTCACTCTACCCAAGCTGACAGCCTTTAGTTCCAATATTTTTCTGAGAAATATACAGTGTCATGGGGGCTCCTTAGGGAGCTGCCCTAGTCCCAAGGAAATCTCTAAGGCGGGGCCCTGATGTCTAATAATCAGCATAGAATCAATGGAGGGCGGGGCTCCTTCCCTGTCTCTCAGGTACCTACCAGTTTGAGTGACTCCGCCTATGGAATGAACAAATGAATGCTAAACCTCACGTTATCTGTAGATTAAAAGAGACTTAAAAGGCATATCGATGCCGTGTATGGACCTTGTTCGGGTTTTTATTCAAACATAGAAAAGGAGACAGGAAAGTTGACCACTGATGAGAGAGCCGACCATTTTATTTGCCTTGAGACGTGTTTTCCAAAACTTTTAACGTTGTCATCATTTGTACAATAAGAGATTTCACATTAAAATCCAGATTTCCAAATGGGAAGATCTGGCCACAGATAGGCCCATCTCCTCACTCAGCTCCCACGGGCTGGGATGAAGAAGTGATAGTTCTCTTTTGGTCTTCAGGTCCAGAAATAAGTGCCAATTCTTTATGAAGTCTTCTCTGAACACCCCAACCAGAAGTGATTTTTCATCCCTCTGAGCTCTTGGAACACATTTTAATTACTCACCCAGCTCCCAGCAAACACTGCCCATACTTGTTTTTCTGTAAACCTCTTACTACCCCTCCTCCCCATTCCCCTTACACCTGGGTGGGATTAAGGCCTTTAAAGGCTCTAAATGCTGAAAAGATCATGGAGGGCGCTTCCCCGTATGTACTTTCAAATCAATTTTATTTTACTCAAAGTGGTGGTGTTTACAGGTCAGCTGAAGCCACACTTTCTAGATTAAAAAAAATTCTCCAGCTTCTGATTTTGAAAAATTTCAAACCCACAGAAGAGTTGAAAGAATAGTAAAACAAACATCTAGATAATTCACCGATTTTTAACATTTTGTGATATTTGCTGTTTTTTCCCTCTGAACTGCTTGACAGTTTCAGACATTAAAATACTTTGCCCCTAAACTCTTCAGCATTGATTTCTTAAGAAAAAGGACATTTTCCACAGTATCATTCTCACGCCCAAGAAATTTGACCTTAATACAATATTATTTAATACATGGTTCATACTCAAATTTTCCTCGTAGCCCCAATAATCAATGCTCTTTAAAGCTATTTTTTTTAATCTAGTTTCTTTTCTTTTTTTTTAAGGTCTTATTTATTTGAGAGAGAGAGAGAGAGAGAGAGCACAAGCAGGGGGAGTAGCAGGCAGAGGGAGAAGCAGGCTCCCGGCAGAGCCGGGAGCTGACTCAGGGCTCGATCCCAGGACCCAAGGATCATGACCTGAGCTGAAGGTAAATGCTTAACTGACTGACTGAGCCACCCAGGCGCCCTTTAATCTAGTTTCTAATCAAGGACCATGCTTCGCGCTTGGTCTCTTTAGTCTCCTCTGATCCAGAACACTCTCTGATGTTTTTAATCTTTCATGACATTAACATTTTGAAGCATCCAGGCCAGTTGTTTCATAGAATATGCCACAGTCTGGATTTGTCTGAATTTTCCTCATTATTAGATGGGTTCAGCATCTCACAATGGGTTCAACATTTTGAACATTTTTGCAAGAAACCATAAAGATGGAGCGCCTGGGTAGCTCAGTCAGTTAAGCGTCTGCCTTTGGCTCAGGTCATGATCCCGGGGTCCTGGGATCGAGTCCCACATCGGGCTCCTTGCTCAGCGGGGAGCCTGCCTCTCCCTCTCCCTCTGCTGCTCCCCCTGCTTGTACGCTCTCCCTCTCTCTCAGGTAAATAAATAAAATCTAAAAAAAAAAAAAAGAAAGAAAGAAACCATAAAGGTGATGTTGCATTTTTCATAGATTGTCCGTTTGTGAAGTTCCAGATAAATTCATCAAAGCTGAATTTATGTGTATCTGCTTTGCTGGCGCCTTAATCACATGTGTGTCATATTAACAATCATGGCTACCATCATGTGCATCATGCAAAACATTGGTCTCTGCATACACATAGGAGCAGGGCTTTGGGTACTTTATAATCCAAACTTCCTTCTCCCCACTCCCACCTCACTCCCACTCTACACCCCCCCCAGACTCCCACCGAATCCCCCCACGCCCCCACCTCCACCCCCAGTATTTTTTTTCTCCATCCCCAGTATTAATCTACAACCTCACCAACACTTACTGTCCACTCATTAAGTTTGCTAAATCTGTAGGTGTAACATGATATCTTGTGGGTTTCGTTTGTATTCTCTCAACTGCTAAAGAGTTTGAGCATTTTTTATGTTTATTGGTCATTTGTGATTTCTCTCCCGTGGGAGACCTGTTTATGCCTTTTGCTCACCTCTTGGAGGTTGTCTTTTCCTTATGTATTTTTAGATCTTTATGCATTCTGGATGCTAATCATTTATGAACTATATATATGAATCTCCAACTTTCATGAAACAGTATCGCTTAAGGCTAAGCAATGGAGACTACTGGTCAGACATTTTGGGTTCAAATTCCAGTTCTGATAGTAACAGTGTGACTGTGAATAATTTAACTTCTCTCTGCTTTAATTTCCTTATCTATGAGATGGGAGTGATAATTGTGCCTACTTTGTCAGGTCGTAGGGGGATTAAAAGAATGAATATAGGTAATGCAGTTAGAACAGTGCCTGGCACATAGTAAGAGTCAAGAAATGTTTGCTGTTATTAGCTTCTTCCATTTTACAGCTCCCATGTAATTGTGAGATACAGAGGGCTCATCAAAGTGCGTGTCCCACAAGTGGCCTCCTGCCCCATACCTACAGCCCCATCATAAACTGCTTCCCTACAACCATGTGCCACACCACACTAATAACAGGGGTGACTCAACCTTTTACAGGCGAGCACCCAGGAAGTGATATCTGCCCTTCAAACGTGCACCAGGCAAATTAAGTTTTTCCTTGTGAATGGGAAAAACATTCTGCAATCTTGAAGGGCCTCCTCCAAAACCTAGAGAGATTAATGTCAGTAAGCCCTCTCCTTCACTGTAAAGACCCACAAACACCCTAGAGATAATTCATGCAACTTTGAGACCTAACAGTGTCATGATTTATTTTGCAACACTTTATTTTTTTTATTTTTAAAGATTTTATTTATTTATTTGACAGAGAGACACAGTAAGAGGGAACACAAGCAGGCGAGAGTGGGAGAGGGAGGAGCAGGCTTTTCGCCGATCGGGGAGCCCCATGCGGGGCTCGATCCCAGGACTCTGGGATCATAACCTGAGCCGAAGGCAGACGCTCAACGACTGAGCCACCCAGGCGCCCCTATTTTGCAACACTTTAAAGAAAGGCTCTACTCTTGATTGAGCCCCTAGCACCTCACAGGAACCTCTCCCCGGCCCCCAGCAACCTGTCTTCGGGCCTCTTCCCCCTAACTTGGGCCATTCTGTAGTGTTTCAAAGACTAGCAAACTCCGGATACAAGCGCACCCAGGAGGCACTCAGTATAATGCTCCCTACAGGAACGAAGGAACAAATGAGGAAAGGAAGGAATGTTAACTGCGTTGCTATGCAGACGGGATGAAAGGAAAAAAGGAATGTTGGAGGGCCAAGCCGGCTGATGATTGGCTGGCTCCCCGCACAGGGCTGCGAGGAGAGCATGGAACGTACGAGAGGGTTTCTTTGGCCCAGGAGGTCCCTGCCCAGCAGGTCAGGACGTGGTGCGCCGGGAGCAGCGCGGCAGAGTTTGCGGGTCCCAGGCGGGCGCGGCGGCTCTGCGGGCGGCGCCCCGCCCCCCGGCGCCGCGGCCGAAGCCGGCCAGACGGCCGCGCCGGAGCCTGCGCACTGGGCCTCCAGCGCCACCAGCGGTTGCAGACGCGGCTGCTCGGAAGATGGCGGAGCGTGCCGGCGCCGGCGGCAGCACATCCCTGAGGGGGATGCGCGAACGGATGGGTGAGCGGCCTGGCGGCTCCCGGGGGAACTCGGGCCCGCGCGGGAGGCGGGCTTCTCGCAGCCCTGGGGACCGTTGGAGCGGCGCGGAGGGCGCCAGAAAACTTTACTCCGGGGTGGCCTCGCGCCGTCCGGTCCTCTCCTCACCCGCCCCGGAGTTCCCCTGGACGGGGGGGGG